TGAATGGCTTGTTGGAACGATGTCATTCCCTCATGAAACGATCTTCAAGAATTTTGGAACGAGCGTTCATCGAGGTCGTTCAAGTCTAGTACTTGAATCCCAAGATTTGATTTGAGCTTAAGTCTTCTAATTCTACATCTTGACTTTGATTGGAATAGGCGTAGCAAACTTATGTCAAGATTCTAGAGCCATGAACGATGAGTAGAATGATGTCGTTCACTATGGAACAAGCACGACAGACGAACGTTCATCCTAGTCGTTCTTCATTGAACGGACATTCATTCTAGTTGTTTTGCTTGGAACGGCTTGATCACTCATCCTAGTCGTTCTATATTGAATGGACGTTCATCTTTGTCGTTTTGTTGTGAAAAAGCGTTCATATTGGTCGTTTGATTTGGAACAACTTGATCACTTGAAGCAGAAAACATAGCATAGCCGTGAACGGGCATAGGAACGATGTTGTTCCATTTAGAATTAATGGCTTCCTGGAAAATTTATAAAGGAAAGAACGAGGCGTTCAACTGATGGTAACGGGCATTCCATTAAGGAAAAATATGCAATTTGCCTAGGTTATGACATTAGTCATACATTTGCATTTTTGTTAGATTCAAACCAATCTTTTGATTAGTTTTGATATATCAAAACACATTAAGGCTCAACATATATATATTAATTACAAAAAAATAATTTTTAAAAATTTTATTTATAAGTGTATGTACAAAAAATATTTTAGGGTATGTTTAAAGAATTTTTTTCGTTGGAGTACTTTAAGTAAAACCTTCACCTCCACAAAAATACTAATAAAGTGCTTTAGAAAAAAGCATTCCTATTGCTTTTTCTCTTTTAAAAAAATATTAAAGAAAAAAAATGTTATTATGCCCTTTTTCAACAAATTTCCCAAATGATAATGAAATATTCTCGTATATAATTAACTTTATTAATTTTAATTCCTAAAATATAAGAGGTTTGTTTAAAAGACATATTTAACATGTGTTATGCCTAAAAAATCGCGCTTATGTCAGCCTAATAAATGTTGCCAAGGCAATATCTCTTCAAAGATATTCACATAAACTTTATCTCATTTCAAAGAAATGAATGGATGAGAGCTTTCCATGTGTCAAGGGAACTTGCAAAATACTCATTACATTTGAGTGCAAGGGTGTATAAATTGGCACTCCTCTTTCCGAAGAGGGGGGCTGGGCATATGAGAGCTAATCATAGTTTGAGCTCAATTTTCTCTCTCTATAAATACTGTATTTCTTCATATTTGTATGCATTCTAGGTAATATCATAGAAATAGTTAGAGATCAATAAAATAACAGTAGATGTAGGAGTCGTTTGTTGCATCCAAACCACTATAAAAACCCCTCTTGCCAATCTTTTATTTATATTTTCTGCAAAATATATAATTTCAGCTCCATATTCAAATCTCATGGATCCATCACGTATGATTCCTAAGTCTGCTTAGCGCTTTTTACATGCGAGTTGTTGGCGTCCAAAATCAAGCGTCAACAACATGAAATCATATGCCTTATCAAAATTGATTTCAATAAAAATTAACAAAGATAAAAATAGTCAAAATACACAAAACCATCAAGTCTAGCACCATTATTTCTCCATCAATTTAATCATCTTATGTAATTAATACGACCGTATTACCTAATATCTTTATTTTTATTTTTTTATTTTTACTTTGTCGAAATGGAAAAGAGGAGGTTAGGTGAGAGAATTTTCATAATATAAAAACAAACGTGGCCTGAAACATTTCTCCATCAATTTGGTCATCTTATGTAATTTGGTAGTTGAAAATTGAAATTTCTCCTTTTCCAGATTTGACACGTTTTTCATTTGCTTCATATTTCCTCCAACATTTGTCATATAATTGAAATGTGTAAGATCCCCATCAATTACAAACATTGAAATTATAACTCAATTCCATTTTTATTTTATTTCTTCATCAAACCTATCGAAATTTCAACGTGGGTTGAACCGTCTTTTGACTTAATCAATTCTTAATTAATTAAACAAGCATAAATAATTAACCATTCTTTTGTTTTATTAAGTGTGACTCTAATTTGGACTCCAATTCATTGATTCCATTTCTCCAATCTTTTGTAATTAAGTTAAATATTAATGTTAGGAATTTAAATTAATATTATACTATAAATTTAAGTTATATATTTTGTTTTAATGACCATATTGACTCATGAATTCTGGACTAAAGATTATGGACTTTATTTATTTATTTATTTTAATTATTGATTAAGAGGTTTTTTTTATCTTTTGTTAAATTTAACGGTAATTAACAATTTTTTCGGGGACTTTTTTAAATGTATTTTAAAATTTTCGAGTATTTTTTCAATATTAAAGTCATCAATATATTGAATTTAAACAAATAAATTTATTACGATAGTGATAGAAAAAAATGAATTTCAATGAATGAATGATTAATTTAATTTAATTAATTGTTAATGGCAGGATTAAGAAAATAAGTGGATTCCATGTCACCGCTTATGGGAGACTAATTTGGCGGCTTCTTATATAAATTAATATAAGTTTAATTATTTAATTAGTGGGTAGTCAAGTTTCATGCATACACTCAATTTACTCAATTGAGAATAGGACCATTTCATTAATGAATTTTATAATATATAAATAATAATATTTACTTTTAATTACAAATTAAATATTCCTTGAATAACTATCCCTTTTATGAAAAATCGATCAAAATATATATTGACGATTGAAATAAAATGTTTAGATAGTTTGTGTCCGTTAACATCCCAATTAGTACGACCACTAAATATATTTTTTCATTGACCAATCTCACTAATCGCACTAACTATTGTCTTTAACACATTATTAAAAAAAACAACATGAATGGTCCCCAAATTAGACAACAATGGGGAGTGAAAAATCAACCAAGCAAAAAATGATATTTCATTTAATTATATGAAACATGCTTGCATATGCATGGGCCATCTTTTGCTTGGTTGCTTCAGTGAGATCGTTTTTCTTTAATTTATTCTTTAATGGCCTTTTTCAAGTTGGAATTTAAAGCCCTTGGATTCCATGTCAGCACATCCATGTGAAGTAACATCGTTGGCAAAGCTTGCAAGAGTGTCGGCAGAGCATTTAAAATTACATGTTTTGGCTTTTAAGATCTAGTTTCATTATATATATATAGATCTATCTGCCATTTCTAGTAAATTTTACAAAATTTTCAAAAACGTCGATATATATATATATATATATATTTTTTTTTTGAATATTACAAATCTATCATTAGTCGATAGTGAAAAATTACTTTAAGTTTATCGTTGGATCTCATAAATTTTAGTGATAATTGCTTGATAAACCAACGGAATATATTTGGATTTTAACTTCTGGTTTGAGTATAAAAAGATCTATTTTTCTAGTAATTTTGTGGAGCTTTAAGAGATGTCTATTTTTTTTTTTTTTTTTCAGTTTATTATTGAATGTTGCAAGTGCATTTTTAGTGTTCGAAAAAGTTAATACTATAAATCTATAGTGAAAATTTACTCTTTTTTTTTTTTATTTTAAAGGGTAATTTTAGAAATGAAGTTAATTATGTTTTAGAAAATTTTGTAACGGGTGAATGTATTTTTTAAAAATAAAATATAAATCGAAATTTGAAAGAGAAAAAAAAATAATTTTATAGGGATGATTTCAAACTAATAGTAAATTTTTAATGGAATTTTAATAATTATTATCTGAAAAATATTTATTACAAGATTGATTATATTAATTAATTACGTCACAGAGATCAACTAAGAATCAAAAAAAAAAAAAAAAAATAGTTGTTGAACATCAAATCAACTTTTTAAATTTTTTTATAAATAAAAATCACAAACCGGGGGTTGGTGAACCGAAGCAATCAACCGGCTGTGCCCTTAACCAGTCAAACCGCGTATATGTAAACAATAAACTTTGATTTCTTTAGGTCCAAAACATTTGTATTTTTAACTAAAAACCCCTAGGGTATCAAAAGTTACCATAAATGTCCTTTACTTTAGGGTGACTATAAATTAATTTATGATATGAAATGTTTAGTTTACAATGTAGTGGGTTTTCAATTTTGCTGCTTATTTTTTGTATTTAATGACATAATATTGACTTTGATATAAATTAAAGGCACAATCACGCTTAAAATTTTGTATGAGTAAAATAATAAATTGAAAGAAATTCTCTCGTGTTAGGTAATATATGGATTTGCTAATAATAATAATAAAAATTCATATTTATGATTGAAAAATACACAACACATAAATAATAAAAACATTTTCTATATTTTTGTTCACTGCTTCGTTATAGCATTTCATTTTAGTATAATAATTGATTACAAATATATCCCTGTATTTATTCTCAAATATTATATTTTTAGAAAATAGAAATAAATCAAATCTTTTATTTTGTTTTTCATATGTATTTTCAAACAAAAAATCTAAAACAATACTACATGTCGTTTATATATTTTAAAAAATATAAAAAAAACAATACTAAGAAATTGTAATCCAATATAAGCTTTTACTTGTACTTAAAAGTAATACTTTTATTTTTTTACTTTTATAATTGAGGTGTTCGAGTCAGTTTATGTATACTCTAACTAATCTTTTGGAGCCTTGAAATTAATAATCGGGTAAATCTTCAGTGACCATCCCTAATAGGTCTTAGTGTGCTTCATTAGGCCTTTTGGTGTAAACTTTTGGGTTCTAAGTACTTTAATTTACAAATCAAAACATTAGGGATTCAAATGATATTTAATTCGATGGAAATCCCACAGAATTCGGTGTATTCTGTCGTTTTCCCCCACCGACTCCATCAAATCTGAACCCTCCATCCACACTGATCCAACGGCTCTCACTCCTCCCTCTCAAATCCGAAACCACCAAGATCCAACACGTTTAGAACTCTTTTTTTTTTTTTTTTTGGGCCAAAAACCCCATCTTCCTCTATAAATCCTCCGCCTTCGACGCAGTTTTTGTGTCGCCTTCTCTTCTCATCTCTCTCTACCCTGCTTTCTTTCACAGGTACCCGTTGCCTCTATTTAGCTCCTGTTATTATCACAATGCGGATTTGATTTCGTTATTATAATAAAATTTTAAACTTTATTGTAAATATAATCTGAATTTGGTACTTTTAATATGACTTTAATATGATGATAATGCGAGTATGATTCTTTAAATGCATTAGTTACATGTTGAGTGTTAATAAAATTAAGGAATCATAGTTTGCTGCTCTTGTTTCGATATTAATTTAATGTTTAATTTATAAATACGGCGGTTTTGTGTGTTTAAAAAGGGAAAATTTAGGATTTTGTGTCGAATTTTGGTTGGCTTTTGTTTAGATCTGAGTGAATGGGGTTGATTTGTGAAGTGGGGTTGTGTTGGTTTTGAGAGATCTGGTGTTTATTTTGGTGGGTTATTGAGTTTGTTGAAATTTTGTTGAAATTTTGGTGTGTGATTTGCAGATTTTGGAGAAAAATGGAGACTTTTCTATTCACATCTGAATCTGTGAACGAGGGTCACCCAGACAAGCTGTGTGATCAGATTTCTGATGCAGTTCTTGATGCTTGTCTTGAACAAGATCCTGATAGCAAAGTTGCTTGTGAAACTTGCAGCAAGACTAACATGGTTATGGTTTTTGGTGAAATCACAACCAAGGCTAATGTAGACTATGAAAAGATTGTTCGTAACACTTGTCGTAACATCGGTTTTGTTTCTGATGATGTTGGTTTGGATGCTGATAATTGTAAAGTTTTAGTTTGCATTGAACAACAGAGCCCTGATATCGCTCAGGGTGTCCACGGTCATCTCACCAAACGTCCTGAGGAAATCGGTGCTGGTGACCAAGGTCATATGTTTGGTTATGCAACTGACGAGACACCTGAGCTTATGCCTCTCAGTCATGTTCTTGCTACCAAGCTTGGTGCTCGTCTTACTGAGGTTCGCAAGAATGGAACTTGCCCATGGTTGAGACCTGATGGGAAGACCCAAGTCACTGTTGAGTATTACAATGACAAGGGTGCAATGGTTCCAGTTCGTGTGCACACAGTTTTGATCTCTACACAGCATGATGAAACTGTTACTAATGACGAAATTGCTGCTGATTTGAAAGAGCATGTTATTAAGCCTGTTATCCCGGAGAAGTACCTCGATGAGAAGACCATCTTCCATCTTAATCCTTCAGGTCGTTTTGTTATTGGTGGGCCTCATGGTGATGCTGGTCTAACTGGCCGTAAGATCATTATTGATACCTATGGTGGTTGGGGAGCTCATGGTGGTGGTGCATTCTCTGGGAAGGATCCAACCAAGGTGGACAGAAGTGGAGCTTACATTGTCAGGCAGGCAGCTAAGAGTATTGTTGCCAGTGGACTTGCTCGCCGGTGCATTGTCCAGGTCTCATATGCCATCGGTGTACCTGAACCCCTTTCCGTCTTTGTCGACACATATGGAACTGGAAAGATTCCAGACAAGGAGATTCTCAAGATTGTCAAGGAGAACTTTGATTTCAGGCCTGGTATGATTGCCATTAACCTGGATCTGAAGAGGGGTGGCAACAGCAGGTTTTTGAAGACTGCCGCATACGGGCATTTTGGAAGGGAGGACCCTGACTTCACATGGGAGGTTGTGAAGCCCCTCAAGTGGGAGAAACCCCAAGAGTAAAAAAGTGTGCATTTCAATACTTTGAGGTGGTCAATAATATGCCATGCTTATTCACTGCACTTGCAGCTTAACTGAAGAGTTTGCTATATTGTTTTGGTGTCATTGTGTTATTTTTTGTTTGTAATTTTTTTATTTTAAAATTGTTTTTTCTTTTATATGCCTGTGCCATATGTATACAAAAAAGATATATGTGGTCAATGAAAAATTTAGAGAGAGCTGCCTTGATTGATACCCATATGAGATTGATAGGAAATGTAATAGGGAGCTAGAAAGGTTCAGTTCTGCAGCAGTATTGATGTTATTATTATTAATGCATTTCTTTGTTGACAATGTAATAATAATATGATTATTGATATACATTTGCTTCCATTTTAGCTTATTTTATAATATTCACGCATTACCATTTTGGAGCTAAATGGTTATCAGTATTAAATGACATAGATTACAAGTGTGGTTATCCAGCTTTTTCGGTCAGCTCTTCCTCTCAATTAGTGGTTGTAACTTTTGTAACATCAATTACTCGTAATAACCTGAGTAAAGAGAGCGAAATTAGTTTAATAGAATGGATTACATTTATGGGTTATATACTTGGAATAACTTCGCACTGAAGCAAAAATTGTATTGATTGCCTTTTTTTATGGAGAACGTTACAAACTTCTAGTAAAGTAAACAAGAAAAAGATTCTACAGAATGTGCCTTTTAACTTTTTTCTGGGTGATTTGGAGTTGGCCTGAAAGAAATAGTCCAATCTTTTTCTGGGTGGTAGTCTTTTTCCTGGGTGATTTACGGTTGACATCAAAGAAATAGTCAAATCTTTGAAGAGATAAAGGAGGAAACATTTGTATTTTGTGGGAGAAAATTAGTTTTTTTTTTTTTTTTGTTCTTTGGGCGTTTATTGCAAAATTGTATGAGATACCTCATTCTTGTTCATTGTGTCCATTAAAAAAAGAACTATGAAAAAGAATGAAATATAGCAAAAAAAATTATGGGAAGGGAAAGTTGAAAAAGGGATTGGATTGCTTAATATTTTAAGTATGCCGGCTAAAGAAGACTCTCCAGGACATCTCTGTTATTTTAAGATTTAAAATTTTCAATTTCATGACCCAATACTTGTAGGATCAGGACACAAGATACAATTATAAGAGGCTTATTGTGTCTGTAAAATTTACCTGCTTAATGAAAAGTTTCTGAGTTATTCACCTCTTCTGGAAATTCAACTTCTCTGTAATATATGCAAACAGAGAAGCAAAAGCTATGGGGAAGACGGCAAGAACAATCACGGTAACAGCTAAGCGATCATGATGAAACCCGAAATAATCTTCTAAGAAGGCAGATACTCTTTTGTTTTTGCCGAATACCAGAACTTCTTTTTGTACATCTCCATGCTGGGAAGGGAGCATACCATTTATTGTCCAAGATGTTGGCATTAAGTAGTAGAACCACAGCCACCACTTTGGCACATGCAGCAAAATTAACATTACCCGTTTACTCTCTCCGTTTTGACCTGTAAAGACTTTAAGAAGGGTTAAAGGGTTTTGTGCTTGTACCGGTTTAAGGACGAAGAACCCCGAGAACAGATTGAACATGCAGGAGGAGGCTGTGGTTACAATTGCAGCTACCATGAAGTTCGGTGTTACAGCTATAAGCATCATTCCAAAATAAGTATAGTACAGCAGTGTGCAAAACATTGCATAGAACTATAGAAGTACCAAAAGATTTTGTATGCTGATGTGTGATATCCTATCATCGGATATGTGATGACCGCAAATATAATTGTCTGGGTAAGTACATAAGGAATCTCAATTATCACCTGCAAAATCATAAGAAGGTTATCACAAACAAATAAGCAGCTCAATTTTGATTATGACGAAAAGGAACTGTTACAAGTTACAGTACAGCTAAGGCGGCGATGTTCTGGAGAAGGTTCAGGCATGAAAAAAAGTGCAGTAAACTTGATAGAGCATATCTGCTGAACTGTTACGAGTTACAGTACAGCTAAGGCGGCGATATTCTGGAGGAGGTTCAGGCATGAAAAAAAGTGCAGTAAACTTGACTAAGCATATGTTAGCAGAAAATATAGCTGATGCATGATACATTGACACTCAATGAACTTAATAGTTCCCAAGAAAACTGTATCTGTGATATTGCATATGCCCACGGAGAGTACATCCCTGCAAATCTTTCTCGATACATGACAGATCACTCCATTGAAACATACGGTAATACTAATATGTAGTTACACCAAAGAAGATCACAGAACTACACGCCCCACCAAGCAGATTGAATAAATTGGGCTGGTTATTTCTGGAAAACTTAAACAAGTCATACAATCCGTAAACTCTGGGCCAATGAAGATAAAAATATGAATCTTTAGAAATTTTTTTTTTTATCTGATGTCAACGGCTTATTTAGTATCTAAACCGCATTGACTATTCTATAATGCAACCTAACTTCAGTGTTGCTGAACTCCTAGGATGTACTTGTATTTTGAAGAAAAATAAAGGAAGATAAACTTACAATTCTTGTCCTTGGTTCCAATACATTGCACCAAAAAGCAAAGACGCAAAAAATGTTTGCAACAGATGCATCAAATTATATTAAGGACTTCTCCAGTAAGACAAGTTTTGCTTCCATAGGGAAGATTTGAATTGTCTCCAACCACTCTGTGCAAAGGAAGTTGGAAAGTGCAGATCTCTTGAACCAGGTGGTGGAGTACTCAACTGCTTTGCATGCTCTTTGTTATTCCTACAATTCGTGTAATTAAAATTTTACACCAAGTTCAGCTTCAGCAGATGCAGATGTGACTTCTAAAATCCATGTTGCCGGATTATAGTTATCTCTAATTTTTGGCACTCCAGCTATACTCTGTTAAATATGACAAGAGTTGTATAGTTCAATATCATTAGAAGGATTCTATTAGTATTTATATAAAAAAATGGAGAGAATGGGAGGGCTTTAAACAGGTGCCAGCATTTTGAAGAAGTAACCTCAAAATATTCAATTACTTTATATGAGTGTTGTCCTAATTCTCCACAGTAGATTACATGCCCACCGGATTTCAAAAGAACCAACTGCAGTCACAATTATAGGATCATAGAATCAACTAAACTTGGTCGAAGCAACTTATATTTTGAAAATGATGCATCTTCATTCTATTGATTTAGAACGCAATCAATATATTTATGACATTGTCTGTATTAACCATTTTATGCTATTTATCATGATCAGAGTGGTAGCCTTTCAAAGAAAAATAAAGTTTTACAGCATCAAATGCTTCAAATATGTGTGTGCTTGGCTGGTGGATGGTGCAGTTAATTGTTCTTCCAGTATTAGCGACATTCTCCACAGCCCGCATGACAATAGCTCCTGATCTTGCTTCTAGACCGGTTGTAGGTTCATCCATGAAAATTGCAGAGGGATTAGCAACAAGCTCTACAGCTATTGTTAGTCGATCACTCAATTGATAGACCACTAAGACCAGGTATGCCAACCAAGGAATCCCTGATTCCATCGAGCTCTAATTATTTCAAGGACTACATTCACAAATTCCTGTAGACAATGTTTTACCGCAGCCTCAGTACAAGTCATCTCAAGAATGTATACAAGACAAACACCAGATGTCACAAATATAGTCTGAAAGTCTTGGTTTTTGAGTCAATCTGCGGATCCAGACGCAGCCAAGCAGAGATTCTTCTACAGTGATTTGTGGAGAATGTATACCAGTTTGTTCACAATAACCTGAAATCCTAGCAAATGTTTCTTGAACTTTTGGATAACCATTGATTTTTATTTCACCCTCAATGTAGCCATTTGTTTTTCTCCCAGCAAGAACATCAAGAAGAGTAGTTTTTCCGGCTCCACTAACCCGCATCAATGCTGCAAGAACACCAGGTCTAAATGTGCCTGTGATATTACGGAGAAGTTGCAATCGTTTCTGAGCAAATCCACGTTTTTTCATCGCCTGTGAACAACATTACAAAAGAAAACAAAAACATTATGGCTCAGAATATCCTTCAACGATCTGGATGTTACAGGAAATAATGTATCTGCAGGATTAGTTACCACAGGGGTGTCAACGTAGTAATTCACATCCTGAAATGTAATTGCTAACGGTTCAAAAGGCAAGACCATCCTGCCTGTTGATTGAAAATATACAAGAAACCAATCAAATTGTTAATTAGATCCAAGGAGCTGAATCTTGAAGCACTATGAACTGAAATGATAGCACTAGGAGCAGAACCTTTGGGGGATCCTTTATTAGTAGTCCTTGGCTTTTCTTCTAGATATGCACTTAACTCCTGGAGGAAGTCTGCAATTGCTTTCCTTTCGGGACACCTGAAACCACATCCCTCAAAAAATTCTAGAACACTTTCACGCGGACCATGATACACAATTTTCCCCTCTGCCAATAATATAAGGTCATCAAAGAGGTCAAAGGTTTCTGGTGATGGTTGAAGAAGTTACCACTATGGTTGCATCAGTGATATGCACCAGCTGTTGAAGACAAGCAACAATCTGAAATGTGGTAGAAATGTCTAAACCATTTGTTATTTCATCCATAAACAATGTGTTCATCGGACCTACTATAATCTCCTCTGCAGAATTTGAGTAATTTCTTTGTTAAAATTTCATCTGAAGATTAGATTTATTGAAAAACAAAAGAACACCCTCCATTGTCCCAAATCTGATCTTGGCATCAGTACCTGTTGTCAACCTTGTTCTCTGACCTCCAGAAACACCACTTCTCATAGCATCTCCTACCATTGTGTCGGCGCAGATATCAAGGCCAAGAATCTGAGAAGCAAAGAAAGCAGCAGGCCTACTAAATGAGAAAGCATTATATGAATTTGACAAAGAAATATGATTTCAGCTCTATTAATTAAAATACTTTTAAAATGTAATCTGTTTGAAGATTTTCTTCTAGTCCTCTGACAGGAATTGCCTGTAACAACAAAATATAATCATCAACATTGCTATGCATAACTTCACAATTGCGATAGGCCTATCACGATGCACAAATAACTCAACTCATTATCGGGAGGAAAAAGAAAATTACAGGGAAGCTCTTGCTTATCTTCCTATAAGTATCTATATCTGGATCTGGGACAATTCCTGCCTGCTTCTCCCTCAAACTGAGACATAAGCTCTTCACAGATTAAAAAAAAACTTTCACTTTTTATTACTATTATCATAAATTGAATGTTACATTCAAGTTTAACATAAAGCTGTCAGTCAAGGAGATTTACCTGCTCGGGTTCCAATGCCCTGACAACGAGCAGAAAAAATCAAGTGTTTCCCTTGTGACCTATTGTCAAAAATTTGACAGACAAAAGCAAAAAGTGATTCAGAACTTCCTATA